TCACTGATTGAAGAAAATAAGAACAACCCCAGGTTTCTCTTCAGCACTGTAGCCAGGCTGACAAAAAGTCAGAGCTCGGAAACTGGAAAAGTGGAGAACAAAAGAAGAAGTGGCAGAAGTAGTGAAAAGCAGATGGAAAGTATTTGAAATCCCTAAGAAATAGGGGGGAAAGCAAAGACCTGATACAGAACCTGGGAGATGCATCAGGCCCTTTAGCTGAACCATCTACTGTTCACTGAAGGCTCATCAGAAATGTTCTTAGTGGGGGGCTGGCTGTCAAGAAGCCATTCTTACGGAAGGGAAATGGGGAGAAAAGGCTGAGGTATGCCAAATTACACAGAAACTGAAGTGAAACATCAGTGGTATTGGGTCTCATGGAGTGATGAATACAAATGTGAACATTTTATTCACGTTATTGTCAATATGAGGTCAGGAGAATGATGAACAGTGAGTATCCATTGCCACCTGTAAAACATGGTGGATGCCACATCAGTGTCATGGTCTGGGGCTGCTTTTCTGACAGTGATGTTTGGATCCACAATGATATAATATCTGGAAACTTCAGACTGGCAACATTTTTCACCATAACAATGATCCCAAACACATTGCCAATGAAGCAACGCAGACCTGGATAGAAAAACACACACTGGGACACTATCAGTCATTGATTGGCATCCCCAGAGCCCAAAACTCAACATTACTGAAGCAGTGTGGGATCATCATCAAAGAGAAATAAAGAAAAGGCAACAAACATGAAAAGAAAAGCTTTGGTGTGACCTCCAAGAGATCTGGAGAATTATTCCCAAAACTATTATAGAAATCACAAGAAAGCTTTCCAAAGAGAGTTCAGAATAAAGGTGTCATACAAATATTGCCAAGTTTGTTAAAATTGTACATGTACTGTATTTCCATGTAAGTTTGCACACATTCCAGTAAGTAGCTCCACCGATTTCCCATTTTCCTAACCACCCCTTATATAAATAAAAAAGGGGTGGTTCAAGATGTTCCAAACTCTTTCAAATATCTTCTCTAGCTACCATAAATAAAGCCATTTACAAAAGTATTCCTGCATAAAATTGCACACTTTGAATGTTATCAGCCCCAATCACCACTCTGTCGTTTTAGTCACTAAATTAGGTTGAGAGTCAGTGGAGTCAATGCTCTGATAAAAACACTTTGGAGGATTACTGTATGCCAATGTTTAAGGTCTGGTTTGCTAGACACATGTAATTAAAACTTTAAACTTTACTGTTGATGCTGGGAGTGACTCAGCTAGGGAGCATATTAGCATGGCCATGTTAACTGCTAGCAGTGACAGAGTTAGAAATATGTCAACGTCAGTTTTATAGTTGAAAAGAAAAGTCAAATGCTAAATTACTGGCACAGGTGGCAGGACTTAAGAGTCCTTTGAGGCCTCTGGCAGCTCTCATTTCTTTACCTCAGCACGGTGAGTAGCTCACCAACTATAACCCAGTATTCAGATTTTGCTGCAAATAGCATATTGTAGAAAACAAATCAAGTCCGTTTGACAAAAGTCACTTGACTGCACTTTTAAACACTTGGGTGGCTGCTCTGTACAATTGCACCAACCTGCTTAGTCACGTAGATTGGTCAGCACAATTACACGAGTTGTGTGGCAACTTGTGTCAAGTGATTAATATAAATCAGTGACGCATATAAATCAGTGACGCATCAGACTAATCAAGCCAGCCTGAATAAGAACAGGCATCTCCATATAGAAGTAGTCTCTATACGAACTTGCTATGCAGGGTCATCAGTGAGTACTTGTAGGTGGCAAGTTACTTTAAGTCATTGTGCAGTAGTAGTGTCAAAATTACTGAAACCACTTTACACACATTATCCAGTTACAACTTGAGAGCAGTGATTCATTAATAGACTCGATGCTCAAAAATCAGAATAAAGCAGCCTTTTTATTGCAGCACATATTTTAAGACATTACATACACCCACTCCATCGTCAGACCCCGGCCTTGGTCTGGCTGTTGGCTGGCAGTGGCTTGCCCATGTGGATCCCCACTGTGAGGCCACACTCTTTGCTGGCATATTTCTCTTTGACCTCAGGCTTCAGCAGGAAACCCTTCTCCTTGTCAAAGTAATCCAAGGGAGCAAAGTACACAGAGGCTTCAACACACAGGTTTTGCAGTCGTCTGCGCCAGCCCTCCAGCATGGAGCTGCGAGATTCAGGAGAACCAGTAGCAGGATCCCAGAAGATCTGAGGGGCAAAAACCTGGAAGCCACAGTAGTTCAGGATCCCATTCTGCACACAGGGAGGAGCAGCTGTTACCACATGACAGATCATTTAATGCTTGGCTCTGTTTATAGTGAGACCTCACCTGCAGTGGCCACAGTGTGACATTGATGTCACCATTGATGCCAGTGTCACTGTACACAGATTCAGGACAGTCAGTGGTGAAGGACAGCATGGCTTTCTTGTCCTGTACAGAGAGAAAGGAGTGAGCAAAGAGGGAGAGGACACAGCCTGAACACAGACATGTTGGTGGAGCTCTCACCTTGAAGATCCCCTCACTGTACCGCTTCTCCTGTGCGTAGGCAAAGCCCAACACCCGATCCATCCACCCCTTCATGATTGCAGGAACAGATGACCAGTACATGGGGAACTGAAACACAGGTTTAATGGTCATTTTGATGTTGACACCCGTTAGCTGACCCCAAAGACACTTCCAGTCAGACACTACCTGAAAGATGACAAGGTCTGCCTCCTTGAGCTTTTCCTGCTCTTTTTTGATGTCATCTGCAAGTCTGCCCTCCTCTGATGCCAATTTGATCTCCTTTGCGTAGCAGAAGTTCTCAGCATCCTTCACTCCACCTGCAACAAAAATCTAGTGTTTGTATCTGATGAACAGAGCAAATAATACCTGCAGGATATTTATATACCAGTGATGTCCTCAGTAGTAGCAGCAGCTTTGAACTTCATGGCGTACAGGTCAGACACCTCTACAGTGCAGCCTTGAGCAGTCAGAGCTGCCACAGCAGCATCTTTGGCAGCAGCATTGAAGGAGGCAGGGCTCTCATGGGCATACACAATCAGCACTTTCTTGGCTGAAAAGTCAAAGACAATAGTTAACACAAAGTGCCCATTAGATCAGAACCAGTTCATTAAAGCACTAAAAATAAAAACAACCATCAAAAATACTTACACATTCTGACACAAGTGCTCTGCTGTGATTGATGATGCTCACAAGTCACTAGTACTCCAATGAGAAAAGCTGCTACTGGTGTAAAGCTCAGTATCCAGTATTTATACACCCAATGGGCTCTGCTTCAACCAGGTGCAGTCAATCAGCAATCAGAGTCATCACTCTGCCAGCTGGAAGTGGGGGATTTTCTCTAAGGCCTCTCATCTTCAGATCTTTTTGTCTTTTAACTGCATGGACACCAAGCATGCGTCACTCCTACAAGATGATTAAAATTAGTTTTTCAATGTCTGTCATTTAAAAGACATGAAAATGAATCAGAGAAACTGATGCCGTCACCATGACATGAATGTTATCTAAGGGTTAATTAATTCTATTAGATGTTGAAATGAGGAGCTAAGCAATTAAACAGGGGAATGATCTTTGTTAATCTATATACTTATGCAAAATTAGCGCCAAGATAAAAGTTTGTAGCTATTACGGATATTACGAAAGCAGCCGTGAAATATTATTACTAAATCCTTCATGCCTGTAGCTGGAAAAGCAAATTATAACATGTCAAGTTCAATCTGCTACAGATCGCATAGAAAACATAGGTTGAGAAAGCATCAAAACAATCGCAACAGCTAACTGTGGTCATTCTTCTCTAGCTGCAGGCTGTGGGGGGAGCATAAGCTGCAGGTTAAAAACCTTTTTAAACAGAACAACGGGGGTGCAACAAAGCGTGCACATGTACACACAGTGAAGTCACTCAAAGAAAGCTGCGTGCTCCCACTAACATGATTTATATTCTGAAAACACTCCTCATTCTTCACCTCTATGTCAAATTGCTATATTTTGTGGGGGTATATTATGGCAACCTCACGCAGGCCACAGTGCGTATGAGGCCCCATCTATCATATACAACCCACCCTCTCGAGAACAACACAAACAGACACACAGAGGCAGAGAGATGGAGTAGGCGGCTGGTAGACAAGGCAGAATGTGAGTGTATAACACCACCAAATGACTCTCTCTGACAATGGACACCATTATCTGGCACTGCGTTGTTTTTCTCTTTTATTGGTCTCAGCATATTCATAATTCAACACATGACATACAGGAAACACTAACATAAACATTCTGACTGAAAGAAGAAATCAAGTGACCCATCGGTCAGCTGAGGCTCTCACCTCAAAGACATGCGGCGGCAATGCCAGTTCTAAAACTCAGAATAAACACACCCGGATGCGCTGGTGGGCAGCTTTTTGAGGCAATTTGGCGGTACAGCAGGGGGAGAGAGGTTTGAAATCAGTAAAAATGCAAGCGTTAGCTTTAAAGAACAAAAAGCAGAGGATGTTAGCTCATAGCAAACAGCTGCTGGCAAAGCCGCATGTATTTTTATGCCTCAAAAAGTTGCCGGGACATCACAGCCTTGAGGGAAATGTGACGGATCCATGCCCTTTTCTGCTGCAAAGGAAGTGCTTTAGTACCCATGTTTGGGATAGGTAGGTAGAACTGGCCATAGAAAGAAGATGAGTTCAATTTACAGTGATGTAATGACATATACAATATATTATACAGCGGTTTATGTGGGAGGTTTATGTTGTTCGATGTAAGCTGGCTCTTAATTTCTCTGCCTCATTATACTTCAAGCAGATTCATCATGAGTAACATAGTTTCTTAGGTAGAATTATACACATTTTTTGTTGTTTTTATTGTTGGTTTTAAGAGGGCCTGTTATGCATTTTCTCATGTTATGACATATATATATATAGAGAGAGAGAGAGAGAGAAATTACAAGTTTCATGACCATATTAAAGAGGATCTGTTCTATTCATTTGTAGTCCGTATTTCTATTCCTGGGCACTACTAAAGTACCTTTTAATAAAAGCAGCTCAAAGTAATCCTTATTTTATATTTATTTGATCCTTTTTGCAGCCCTTGGTCCGTCCTCTGAGTGAAACAAGTTGTTCAACTGTGTCGCCGCTCCATGTATGCTATCTTATTCTAATTGGATACCCCTCGTAAACAGAAGGTTTGAACAACAGGTGGGCGGGACTTCTGTTGTCACAGTAAGAATAGGAAAAACTGTGTGAAACTGAGCATTTGGCTCACAGGCGTTACTTATTAAACTTTTAATATCAGCAACACTGATAATACGACCCCTTTAAACATGCCAAAAGTGTGTGTGTATGAAACAAAAGCTTATGCTCGAGACAGTTTTTTCCATTCTTAACTCTGAGTTCCTTTTAGGATTTTCTGTTTGCAAGAAGCAGCCAATCAGTTAAAAGTTGGCTTGAACAGGAGAGGAGATAAAAATGCTTTACTTTGCTTGAGAGAATCTGCACCAAAGCCCAGCATAAGATATACAAGGCTCATTTTGAGCCTGAGTGAATGATGCAAAACCACTTCACTATAGTCCAAGAATAGAAATATGGAGCCAGAAACAGACCCCACTTAAATATCTCATCTCTCTTCAACACTGATTCCAGCTCATTTATTTAGATTTCAAGAGGTGTGTGAATGACTGAAACTAAAACACAGTTTATAGCAGTCGTGTCTTAAATGGCCAATCTCAGTATAGTGCATTTTCTTTTTTAATGTTAGCAGTGGACTTGTGTCTTGATACCCATATTAAAAGAACCCCATTCCCCCTTAAATGCAGCGCTACCCCTTCCCCACACTAAGTCAAGCCCCCATGCCCCCGCCCAAAATAACTTTATACAAACTGATAAAACTTCACGAAAATTCACCATCAACACAAAGGTCACACAAAGTCCTGTGGTTACGTCCATCCTGTAAAAACTAAAAACAGCGGACATCAACATCCGCTCGGACCACTCCCTCATGTGTTGGTTGATAGGGTCACATATATATAAGCACACTCTCTACGTGCACCCAGATACAGTATATACATATACAAATGTAATCCCCAGGGGAGTAAAGACAGGCAGCACTTGCAGTCAGGTCAGGCTTATGTTTCTATTGCATTGCAGCTCATTGCATCCTTTTGTTGCCAAACAGTTAGACAGGTTGTTTAAGTGTTGTCAGGGGATACAATGGTATTTTTAGGACTAAAAGTAAAGGGGGGGGTTGAGGATTTAATGGCAGAACAGGTGGTGAGAATTCATTAGTGTGTACGCAGAAGTGCAGGTGGAGTGGAGGTCGGAGAGTCCATATCCGATCAATCGTGGATAACAATGGGGCCTCGCATTCTCAGGCTGGGGTGAGGATGTGGAGGGGCGAGGACAAGCCCCTGCGGTGGACCCTGGGAGACCCTGCGCAGGGTGATTTGCTCACAAGGTTGCCGGCAAGCGTGCCTCAGCTGGGAGCGAGACAACATCCGTCGAGCCCGCCTAGATGGATGGAGACAACATGGAACAAGATGAGTGAAGAAGAAACAGGGATGCAGAGATAAATAGCATTAATAAAACTAAAAGGATGTTCCTGATCTTAGGCGTTTGGTACTTGTTTTATGCTTCCTCTCTGCCATATTTCAGGGGCTTATATTATGCTTTTCATTCAACTCCAGGTCTGAAGCAAACTTCTAAGTGCCTCGGTTCTACAAAAGACTACCAGAGACTGGCTTCATAGTTGGTTAGTCGTGTTGCCATAAACTCATGTGTTAAAATGCACAACTTTGCAGCTAAAATTAACATGTTTACACCTGGGCAGCAGTTCAACTATGCTTGTAGGATTTTGAAATGTTTTTAATGCAGTAATCTGAAAAAATGACATACTGTGTGGTGCAGTTTGTGCTCAACATCAGACTGGCTATGTCCATACTATATATTCATCTTTTATTTTTACAACCTTTTCTAACAATCGACACTACTGACTTTGCAAATTCAGATTAATAATACAAAGACTTGGTAAATTTTATAGGTAAGACTTTATCGATCCCCTAGGAAATTCCCTAGCAAGCCAAGCTGCAATGTCAGCAGTTATAACCCATTAGACTACATTTTACACAAATGGTATTATAAGTAAATTTACCTTTGGTACTTTAACTGCTTAAAAATGCAAATATCAGCAGCTAATCCAACTATTGCCTCAAGGGTCAGGGAAACAATAATCACTCAACTCAACATGAGTCGAAAATCCTTAAATAAATAAAACAAAACAAACAACAACAAAAAATGTTTTTACTAATACTTCAGCACTGAATTGCTGCCATGTGACAGACTGATTGTACAGTAACAAGCAGATGAGTAGGTGTACTTAATAAAGTGGCTTCTGAATGTATTTCTTAGCCTGCAAATAATGCTTGTCTGAGACGATTACTCATGTTGACTGCATTAACACATAGAGCCCAAATATACAAATTATGAAACTGACTTCATGAGACAGCTGATTTATCACCGTGGGCTTGCCATACTGCGCTACTGGTTGTTAATCATCTGGTTGTTTGGTTGGAAAAAATGTAATCATCAGTCAACATCTGATTCTGGTTTTAGCAGTGTCTCTTAAATGGCAAGAAAATGGCTTCTGATTTCTCTGATCAGGGCAACTTAAGTAGAAAAGTGTAAACAGCCAGTTCAAGACACGAAGATGAAAAATCTCATAAAGAGAGAAAGCTGTGAAGTATAGGGTAGTTTGAATGATTTAATATGAGCACAGTTCAGCTGGAGGGCAATACATTGCCGATCCAGGCGGTTGAGAAGGTAATTAGATACAACTAGATTCTTCTCATCTCGAGAGATTTACTATAGGAGAGTGCAGCGCGTTCCGAGCACCAGAACAAATACACGTGTCTGTTATGAAGTAATAGAGGAGAACATTTTTGCAGGATTTTCTGGCTCGTAGAGGGCTTTGTAGGTAATTTCCAGACTGCAGTGGGCTTTGCGGCGTGACAGGAAAGCACTTTTTACAACCCACAGGCACTAAAGAATCCCAGATTCTTGGGACACACTCACAAGTCTTGGACGGAGCACTAATTGAATCCAAATGGAGACAAATGCAAGGTGCATAACCACAATGTATAGGTGATTATTCATGGTTCCCTTAGAGCAGTCTGAGACTTAATGCACAGCAAAGCTCTTTGTGCAATCTCATTTTCTTCCCCTTTCCTATTGCTGTAAATGTTGTCTCGTATTGTGAACGCAAAACACACCGGCTGCCTCCAAATCCCCGCTGCACTGCACAACTATAATGTGCCAAGCCAAAGGGATCTCCTACCGAGCAGATTACAGTA